GAGAAAATTTCACATTTGATTTCGCCAAGATTCTATTGACGATTTACCTCGCGATCGAAGATTACGCGGATATAAAGTCGCGGACGTCGAATTAAAGAATCTCGTTTAATAGAATTAGAGAGTCTCGTTTAATAGAAAGATGGGGCAAAAACATCTCCGTCGAGATCCGTCGCAGATTTTTTTTCCGGCATCGATGGCGCGCGATGACCTTTCGGACGATGGACGATGCGGTCCATCGTGCCGCATGTGAATCAAACGGGAAAGGGAAATACGACACGTAAACCTTGCGCATAATTACGCCAACGATTTTCGCATAAGAATGATTTATTATCATAGCATTTTTCGAAGGCGAGTCTATACAACGTTAACAACAAGTAATAAGGACAATCGAGCGCGATATACGAAAGTGCGAAAGGGCGAAAGGATACGAGCGATAGTAAGAAATTCCGTGGCAATCTCACGATTTTTCATCAAAATTTCCCGTATAAGGGTCTTTGTATAAGGGTCAATACAATTTTTTGCTTTAATTTGCATAACTGACTATACGATATATCATAAGCATAGAAATTAGATTAGACGCGATTTCGTGAGCTACCAAGTCACCAAGCTACCAAGCTACCAAGTGAGTTACTAAGTCAAACAGGAATTTCATCAGGTTCCTGCGAAACTTTCTACCGATATTTTCGATATCATCGCGATTTACACCCCGTCTTCCGTTTTTTTTTTCCGAATTTACATCCTCTAGACGTTTATAATCTCATCGCAAAATGAAAAAATTTTTAGGAAAAACAACAAGATCCTCTTTGTAGATTGACTACAATGTCGGAAATGATTGCTGGGCAATTCGCTGACTCATCGATCGCGAGGAAAGCACCCTTCGATATTTATCGTGCGAACATCGGTATTTCCATATATCGATCAAACGAGAATTAAACATGTTTAACAAAAGTATCCAGTAATTATGTTTCTCTGCTCGCATTTTTCGTAAAAAAATGTACAAAATATTGTTTTGTTCCAAAATTAAAGTACCATTTGTTACTCATTGTTACATTGTTACTGTTCTCATGTAACTAAGATTAATAAATTTAAACGTGAATTTAAGGGAATGATTCATTTATCGTTATCGTTTATCGCAATCGTGGAATTTTTCCTCACGAATATATGTGATATATACTACTTGAGATTTAATCGATAGTATAAATCTTTATAAGAGAGCATCTCTTTGAATGATTTTACGGGTTTTTATGGATGTTACTTCCGAGTATTGGCTTCTTTACGAAGAAGCCATTCGTCGTGATGAATCACATAAACGCACAGAGAATGAATAGCTTTCATTAGTAGTATATAATGATTGGTTTCCGCGCAGCCTGGAAATATACATCTCGCACATATAATTCGTATAACACACTCTTCCTGCTCTTTGGAGAGAAAAAACTCGGTATCACCTACATTTTACAGATTATATATATATACATACATCTTTATACATTAAACCAAGTTAAATAAAACAAAAATTATCAGAGTTTAAAAATTGTAGGAGTAATAATCTAAGTAATAATCTTTTAATTTTCCTATTTATATTAATATCATAAGTATCATATTAAATATTGAAAAATATGTCATTCGAGACAAAATGTCACGAATAATTAGTGAATCTATTATGTCAATGCAAACACAATCAAGGATACTACAAATCATCTAGACAAAAGTTTTGCATTGACTCTCTAGAGAGAAGAAAGATCTGAGATAAACTAATAGCACTAGCCGTCATTCGACAAGATAATATCAATAATTAAAATATATGTATAGAGATATATATATTTTTGTTTTTTAATATACTCTGGAAGCAACAATTGCGTTAATTGTTATAATTAGAAATGAGATAAGCAAAATCCAGTGCAACAATAGTTTTGACCTTCATACAGGTAGATATATTGATGCTGAGAAGAACCGAAGGGATCAGGCGAATCATTGGATTGATAAACGATTATTGCGGCATATGCAGCTTTAGGGGAGGGAAGGATGACGAGA